CTGAAACCAAACAACAATCGAAATATATATATATATATATATATATATCTTTTCTTGAAATAAATAAAATATATTTTAATTTTCACTGTTTTGTAGGGTTGATTTTTGTTTTTCTTGGTAGATTGTGCTATCAGTGGTAGAACAAGGTGTGTCATATTTTCTGAAACATTGTAGTTACAATCATTTGTTAACGTCACATAAAACTTGTAAATTGCATTCCTGTAAAACATCTTCAGCATGTAGCAGGTTTCACACAGTTGTGACTAAGTCATAAAAAAAAGCCCAGTATTGCTGGATTCAAAGAAGCACTCTAAATCTCTATTTGTAAACTTGCCAGTGTGGCGCTGAAAATTTGCTTACACCCCTAACATGAATTTATCTGATATGTTTATTTAAGAATTTGACATTTACGCAGTTTTTTTGCTGTCCTTTCACATTACGATGACTCAGTCCATTTGTCTCAGTTCCTTGAAAGTTAATTTGACATTTAGGAATGCCAAGGCTTCACACGAGTCGCCAATACTCGAGATTAGAGAACACTAGACCCGCCGTTTTAAATCAAATTGTAATGTAGCATAATAACTTTGATGGAATGAGCTCTTTATTTCAACCGAGCTCCTATCAGCAGCTCGTTTTCTTCTTCATTCTGACACAGAAATCTTTGAACCATAAATTAGGAGCTTGCTTCAGTCACAACAGCTGTTGAGCTGCTGTAGAGGCTGCTCTTTATCTTCTTCTTGTATCTCACTCCGTCGCTGCTTCTAATGACAAAAACGATTCCCTGATATATATTTTTTTCTTGTCTCATGAAGCAAAAGAGAATCTTGTTTTTACATCTTAGGAGGAAAGTGTCACCTTTATGTTTGATAAGCTCAATTCCTATAGTAAGACGCCAACATTTTCTGCACTCAGATTTAAAAGCAAGTCCTTCAAAGACGAATGACTGAGGAAAGTGTTGTATTTTATGTGTTAGACTGCAGTGACTAAACCCTGTAAAGCAAGATTATTATTTTTATTTTTTTGATCTGTGACACTATTGGTGACATGTTTGAAGGCGTAGTTCAGATTTGTTAGTGTTTTTTGTGGAACCATGTCGAACAATTACGATCCTGCTGTATCATCAGTCTGGAGAACAAGCTAACAGCTAGTCAAGCTAGGCTAAGATCACAGTTGATTGCTGCTGTCCTCAAAAAAACTCCAATCTTTAATATGTCATTGCTTCATAAATCTTTATGTCCCAATCAGTTTTACACAACACAGTTGTCTTGGCTGAAATTTTATTTAATTTTTTTACGGAAATGGCCCAAGGCTGCACCGGAAAAGCTATAGCTAGTTGCCACCGTTGGATAAAAATATCCTTTCATTACTTACTTTAAAAGAGTCGCACACGAAAACAGGAGAATATTTTTTAATCCAGGTTACTTGCAAGGGTAAAGTTCACCAGGCTTACACAGGTCTTACACTGAAGTCCCATTCGCAGAGATCTGCCTTGGACAGTGTGCAGGAAGTGTTTTTATAATGCTTATCAGCACGATGACCTCGGCCTCTCAGACTCTGAGGCATCAGGTGCCTGCAGGCTCTTCTCAGCAAGAAAAAAAAAAGAACTCTGATCTCACACACATGGTTTAACATTAATTTAACATTAGCAGTGATAAACATCCATAAACCTTTACCTAAATTCCCTTGACAGCCGCTATTAGCTCTTGCAAATCATCATAGAATTTGACATAACTATGTAATGTGAAACTGATGGTGATGTAACAGTTTGTAACGCATTGTTTAAATCAACCACATGGGAGTGGTTTTAAGATGACATCACTTTGGTCTTTGGCTTCACTCGGACTAGCCATTAGCTCATCAATCTGGTCAGAATTAAACTCTTTTTCCAAACTGAGTTGATTTAAAAAGCCACCTACAACAGGTAAGGTATAAATTGTTTTAAGCTTTACAGAGTGCATCATTTCAAAAGATCTGGACTATGTCTTCTGTTTTTGGAAGTAATTTACTCTGGATGCTATATCATACTGAAGTATACCTAAAGTTTCAATAGAAAAACAACAAATACATATCATACAGGGAGAGTTTCTCCAAGGTTCATCTGTTCTGTATATAATATTGTTTCATATAACTAAGTCAAAGGTCTGATGTGAAGAACACCGGGTTTCACAATAAAATCTGCAGTTCCAATAAAAACAACCTGACGTTACCGTACTTAAAGTCGTGTCTCAGTTCATTAATTTTGTGTGGGTTTGTTCTGTTTGTGTGCAGAGCTGGAGGTGGCGAGGATGAGCACAGATGGAAATCTGCCTGATCTGAAGTTCCCACAAAGTGGAGGCCAAGGCAACTCCATCCACCTGTCCGCTAACACACTGAAGCAGCACGGGAGGAACGGTAAGACACCAAAGCCCCTTGACTCTACTGTTCTTTTCATCACCTGTGTGCAACTTATATTGGTGCACAGTTCCTGGTGGAGGAAAAAACAATCCTTAGAATATGGCAAAACTTCAGTAGAAAAGGTTGGTTCACGAAAGAAAATTGGATAAAACTTGAAGGCTTATTTCCTGCACCTGTTGGAAATTAAAGATTTAGCTTTTAGTTGTTGGAGAACATTATGGGGCAATTCTGCTACTACCATGCTAAATTTTAGCTCAACATTATAAAACTAACAGAGTTGTAGCCATTATTGTTTGCTAAGGTTGATTAGCAGTGGCAGCCATCTTTAATTGGTATGGCATCAAAAGTTAAGCAGTTATAGGTATGCATCAAATTACAACAATTTGATAGATTTGTGAATTTTGTCTAGTAGTTCATGAGGTATTTTTGCAAACAGACCTACAAACAAATACACACACTGTCAGGCGACTACATAATTGCCTACTTTTCAAAGTAGGCAGGTAATTACTGCCCTTTTTTTGTCTGTGTCTTCGCATAGGACACAGGATCGGTTATACTTAGGCAATGCCTTTAAGCTGTAAGAGAGGCAGTTAGACACGATGCATACTTCAAGAGCAGTGCTGCTCCATTTGTATGATTTTATTACCAGCTCATGCAAATCAGATCGGACTCCAGCTACAGTACCTGGATGTCTCTCAGCTGGATATCTAACTCCCCGTCTTGTTGTGCACAGGCAGATTGTAGTTGGAGGGTGGCGGGTATTTTACCATCAACTATGGCTGCAGCACCCAAACTTTTTTTTCCCCGTGGGAGTGAGTGATCTTGATCACAACAGGGGGGAACTTTCTTTGATATTGGTTTTTAAAAGAGAGACCCTATGGGGAGACGGATGTGCATGAGGCGAACTATGAACAAGAAAAATGTCCACCTTTGTACCTGCAGGCAGAAACGTGTTAGTCACGATTTTTCAGAGGCTGAAAATGAACTTTTTGTTCATGCGTTGAAAGCTTACCTATACAAAGAAAATGAAACGACCTTGGTATTTATTGGTTTAATGCTTTGCAGGTCCCATTCATAAAATAGATTAAAGATTTAAGAACATAATTTTGGAACATTTTTAGGGTCATAGTTTTTGCTTCTTGTTTGTGCTTATAAAGCATTCACATTGTTGAGATCCATTTTCCTTCTGTTTTTATCTTTTTGTGCTATTTCAACAATTCACATATTAAAACATTCGGCTCATTCAGGACAATCCTGCTATGACCTTTGGCAATTGTGCAATTTTGACTTTTTAACATATTTAGCTTTTCCTGTAATATTTTTGTCATTAAAATTGAATGGAGTTTTCTGCACATCCTTGTTCTGTTGAAAACATTTTACTGCTCATTCCAGCTTTTGTTGTGGCTCCCATTTTTTCAGCTTCTTTCTGCTAATTTCAGCTTCATTTTGTTTAATTCAGTTTTTTTTGTGTTCTTTTTGTCAATGCTGATTTAAGCATTTTATGCTCTTTACCTTCTTTAGCTTCTTTGAATGAATTTGTGCTTTTTCCAGCTACCTTTTTTGATATTTTCCTACTAATTTTAGCTTTTTTGCATTATGTTTTCACTAAATTTGTTCTTTTGTGCCTCTTTCTAATAGTTTTAAACTTTTTGTGCTCATTTTTTTCTTCTTTTTGCTACTTTTAACTTTTTTAGCTAATTTCAGCTTTCTTCTGCTCATTTCAGCTTCATTTTTGTTGTTGTTAGTTTCAGATTTTTATAATCTACTCAACCTGTTTCTGCCTATTTCAGCTTATTCTGCTCCAATTCTGCTTTTTCGACACCTTTATGCAGTTTTTCTGCTGCTTTTGTTTTCCTGCTTTGAGCAAATAACAGGTGTCCCCCGCCCCTCTCACAGTGACTGCTTGACGTGGGCACCAGTGACTCACACAACCTAAAATGGAAGAAGCGGTTATTAACGGATGGATTAAAGACAGCGAAAAACTTTTCCTAACTGTTCTTTTCCAGGTGAAATTCGAATAGCATTCGTCCTCTACAAACACATCGGTGGGTACCTTTCAACAGAAAACGCCAGCATGAAGTTGGGCAGCGAAGCCTTGGCGACCAACTACTCGGTCATCGTCAACTCACCGCTGATCACAGCCGCCATCAACAAGGACGCTAACAAAGTCTATCTCTCCGACCCGGTCATTTTTACCATCAGACACCTGCAGGTACATTTCTGCTTCTGATTATTTGTTCATCTGAAGTCAACTTGCTTTGTTTGTTGTGTAGTCAGAACTTTACATACGCCCAGTATGGGCATGGATGTCAGATTGTTTTGAGGTTTTACAGATTGGTTTGAACTAATCTTTTTATCCATGGTGGAATAAATATACAACTTCAAATGTTTCAATTAATTCTAAAATTGCATTTGATCTACATAGGGTCAAACGTATATATTCACTATGTGTGGTTAGCATTGTTGCCTCACAGCTAGGATGTTCTGGGTTCAAGCCTCAGGTTGGGCCTAGGGTTCTTCTGTGTGGTGTTTCCATGTTCTCCTTGTGTTTATGAGGGTTTTCTCCGGTGACTCCGGTTTCCTCACACAGTTTAAAAACATACATGTTTAGGATGCCCTTTGGCTGAGGTCTTCCTTGAAAAAGAGAGCTGTGATCCCATTGGGATTTGCCTGGGTAATAAAGGTTTAATTAAAAACAGAAAAGAATAATACATTTTAAATGTCGTCTATAAATGTTCTGTCGGGTCGAGGTTGGGGCTTTGAGAAGGCCATTCAGGAAGCCCAGACTTAATGTTGGCCTGCTTCATCCACTCAGAAACTAGTTCAAGTTCAAGAATCTTTATTATCCCCAAACGACAGTTTGTTTCACAGTCAGTAGGCACATAAAACATCCATACTACATACAAGACATAGGTCCATTAAAATAACAGTACATAAATCATCATTGTTCATTGAGAAGCCTGATTGCTACGGGGATCAGTCTGTTCATCCTACATCTGGGCAGCAGATACCTGCGTCCAGATGGAAGCAACCTGAACTCACCATGGAGTGGATGAACAGGATCTGCCAGTATCAGCCTGGCCTTGTTCACTGGCCTCGTCTTGTGTGGGCATGAATAAAACGCTCTAATAAAAGTAGAATCAACATTAATGTTCTGGTGTGTGTTTAGGATTATCTTCCTGTTCGAACACCCAATTGTATCCAAGTTTCAACTATATAGTTATTATTTTAGGTGACATATTTGGAAGTTGGCCAGTATTATTTTGAAGGGCACTATTACCACATCATCATGATTCCACCACCATGCTTGATAGTGGATACAGTGTTCTTAAGATTGAAAGCCTCACCTCAGTTCCTCCAAACGTTCTTGTCATTTTGGCTAAATAGCTCAATCTTTGTTTCTTCTAACATACAACATTTTTTCTAGAAGGCATCTGCCTGAAAATGTCAGTGAAGCTTGAAAGTGTCACTTTAGGAGCACGGGCTTCTTTCTTAGTTGGTCAGAGAGGGTACGGCTTCACTTTGAACAGTTACACTGGTTAGTTTCCAGTTCTTGGTAGACTTTAGTCTTGTTGGTTCCTGGACTGTTTCTCAACATCTTAATGTCCTTCATTTGAGGGTGACTGATGAGTTTTGGGGACTTGCGACCTGTCCAGGGTGTACCCCGCCCCTCGCACAGTGATCGCTGGACATGGGCCCCCATGATCCAAAATGGAAGAAGCGGGTAAAGATAATGGATGGATGATGAGTTTTGGTCAAACCAATAAATGCTGTCCAACAAATTATCTTTCTGATGGCAAAGAGAAACTAACAGCTACTGCTCTTTGGCAGGCCGTAGACTGAGGAAGTCCTCTGGATGTGAGGTCGAAACGTTTCTCACTCAAAGAAACTGGTCCAAATGACACGATTTAACCTTTTTTATTATTACCAACAACAGTCATGCTTGATCACTAACAGGGAGATCAAGTTAAAAGTCAGCCTTGATCCTTTAGCACCACCCAACAAAAGATTTAAGTGTGTATTTATTTAAGCCTGTGATAAGTCTGTGTACATTTCTGACCTCAGCTGAAGATGTAAGCTCCTCTGAATTCAGTGTTTCTTTGTCTCTCTGCGTTTGTTTACACAGAAAATACACTTACTGGATAGAACCTTTTATCAGAACTCCCTCTCTCCCTGAAGTGCAACATAAATGTTAACTAAGTAAAATGAAGACGTTTGACTCCAGGATAGGTGTGAAAATTAAACTGTCACAAAGCAACATCTCTCCCGACGTGACGGCGAAACACGCTGCTGTTTATTAGTTTATAAAGCCAGCCCGAGCTGCTGAAAAAAATATCAGTCGTGTATTCGCCCTCACTGGAAGCTGCTTAGTCATCGCAGGGAGCCACGACTTCTCTCCCTCGACTCCATTATCTTCTCCACACTTTGCTACCCTCGAAATATCCCTGTTTTGTCTACAAACATCTCCTCCAGCGATGATCAGAGATGTTGAACAACTGTAGGAGCATTCTTTTTTTTTTCCTGTGTAGGAGGGACCTGCAGGAACAGCAGATAAAGGAAAAGGACTAAAGCTCAAGGATGGTAAAATTAAATGGTGGGAAAATGTCAAAGGACGATCTCAGAGCAGTTATTGCTCTGACTCATCTGCCCTACAAAGAAATTTGTAATTTGAACACTAATTTCACTACGTTTTAACAACCTTTACCTGCAAGGATCAAGTCATTTTAATAAAACGGTCCTATTTGCGAAAAACTTATTTTACTTTTAACAGGAAAGAGCTGCCACTGCAGTTTTTTTTTTCCTTTTGTTTTTTCATCATCAAAACATGTCATTTATACGGACACATTTACATATAAAGTGCATTTTGTGTGTACCAGGAGCTGTACGATTAATCACATATTCATGATTGTGACTGTGGCTTCCATCGCTAATTAAACATGATTGGATGTGATATTGATGCACAATATTGACAGGCACATCAAATCAAGGGCTCTGCGCTCTGGTAAACCAATCAGAGGTGTTATTACGAGACGTTTAACAGGTCCCTGCTCTCCAAGCATGTTCACACGTACAGGCAGGAACATAGTCTTTTATCTTCTATAGATTGATAAAGCCTTTAAGTAAAGTAGGATTTTTTTGTTTGTTTGTTTGTTTGTTTGTACACATCCTGACAAATTTTCTTAAATACTTGTGCCGTGAAGCAAATAAAAATATAGAGAAAAAACATTCTTAGCTTGGCTAAAGATTCTCCCAAAACATTTTCTTCTATTACAATAATTGTTTCTAGCTGCTCGTTTAAGGTTTAGGACCATTATCCTTTTCATGTTTTTGCTTAAAACACAATTGTGACTACACGGTTTAGACTTGTGATGAATTAAAATTTACTCACCCCATGACCTACAGCTGACAGACCCTTCAAATAAACAGAGGCTTCAAATAAAGAGATATCAGGCCCCTGATGACTCTAGAAATCAGGGAAAACCTGTTTTTCCTCGACAGTGTATATTGTACATGTATCCTTACTGATTGGTTATAGTGGCTTTTTAGTATCTAATTTAATACAATATAATAAATAATAATCTGGGCTTAATTTGCAAACTGATAGATGCTGGAATGCAAATAGCAGGTAGTTCAACAATTTTGAATACAGTAGATGCGATTTCCTGCATTTTGGTGTGTTTTAACAGGTTGTTAAACATCTACATTTACCTACATTTGTAAACACTCCGCTTCTGTCAAGCATCCTACCCTCCGTCCCCCCACCTTTATTTGACAATTCCGAGCCCGACACTGTCCCTGCTTGTTGTCTGACTCCACATGTGAAACCTCCAGGCCGTCTGTTCATGGCGGCTGCCTGTGAGCTCCTGCCATGTACGACTGCCTTGTTAGCTCGGCTTCACCCCCACCACTCTTTTAGATGCGGAGATTCTTTTTTTAAGAGTAGACACGGAAATGCTACTTGAAGGGGCAGCTCATATGTGATGTTAAGAAGCTCGTAAGTGACTGTTGTGTTTAAAATGAGTGTTTATGTAATTTTCAGTTTACATATCCAATATAAGTTTTATTCATTCAAGGCAGTCATATTTGTTCATAACTTTATTATTAGTAAACTTGAGAGATATCGGATCTAAACAAACAGTTAACGGAACTTACCCTATCAAAATAAGAGTTCCTTGATGCTGTTCCGGCAGGATCCAACTCATATCAAGAACTGATTATTATGAATGATATACGCATGTATCATAGGCTGCAGTTTACTTACTGTGATCTCTGAATGTTCCTCTGTAAGCGTTAATTGTGACTGTTATATCTCCTGGAATTTCAGGATTTACTCAGGGAAAAATCGGAGTTTTGTTTTCATGAAATGCTGCTAACCCTGATAGCTAGGTATTGTTATATTACTTCATTTTTTGCTGGTTGAATGGATCAACATAAAGAAGGGCTGCACATTGGTTGTAAAGCTGAGCTCACCTTTGACCATGGTTTCCACTTTGTAATCCTTTCAAAATAAACTACGACAATTGAAACAGATCCTAGGATAATTCAAGTTGCTATATTTTTGTTTTGTTTTTGTTTTGTTGTTTGGAAGGAGATAGGGTAGTAGGTACCCTGAGTGGAAAAGCACCGTTAAATAACTTGTCATTCTGGTATTTTTAAAAAGTAGCAATCAAAAAATCCAATTGTAACGTCACATTAATACTTCAATTTTGCCATTTTAATTAGACGTCAAATATTCATAAATCACTGCCCATCCCTACATTTATTACAGCTTTGCCATTAAAGTGGAACATTATATACCGTTTATACCTCTATTGATGAGGGGTTTCTGTGTCTGTGCCTTCTCACAGTTAATTCCCCCTCTTAACTATGAGGTTTTGGTCTACTGGTCTTCTGGGATGATTACATGTCCTCTAGTTATTGTTTCGCTTCCTTGCTTCCATCGTTTAATGGGACCAATTAAAACTATTAATGGTGACAGAGGGTCATCCTATCTCCTTACCGTGGAATGGTTTACGCAAGGTTTGGATGTGTGAAGGGTAAATGCAATCAGTGGAAAACCTGCATTCACAGAGGATAAACCTTACTCGTCTAATTAATGTGCAACAAAACGTGAAACTACAAATAAAAAATGCTCCTCGTAGTGTTCGCCATAAGAAGGTAGATCTGTTTAACCTTGGCTACGTTAAAGAAAAGGTGCTTGCTTTGTTTCTGCAGCTGCTGTAAAAAAGAAATTGGACTCGAGAGGAAAAGGCTGTCAGTGTATCTATTTATCAGCAGTTGCATTTAGTTGTGTTATTGGGCTTTTGTGTCGTGGATGACTTTTATAAAATGGCAAGAGAGATAGCGGGGAGGCCTGCTTGTCATTAGGACCGGAGCCCAACACAGACGCCAGTGGTGCCTATTAAAACAGTAGGGCAGACCATTGCCATGCAGTGAAAGTTAAAGAGAAAGGTCAGAAAACACAATGAAAAACAGGCACGTTGGGCTTTATGAGAGTGAAAAAGTCTGCTATTCGCTTAAAATAGAAAAGCGTTGTGTAAAAGATACATTATCTCCCATTTAATGGGATTTTTACTGAGCAAACAAAATAAATCAGATTGGAACCACCTGTGATTATACTCGGACATATGTGGTTTCACACAGTGAGGCATCACTTTGAGGCTACTTATATATTCATGATTTTTTTTTTCCCTTTCAAACAGCAATCTGAGGAAAACTTCAACCCCAACTGTTCGTTCTGGAGTTACTCCAAGCGAACCATGACCGGTTACTGGTCGACCCAGGACTGCCGTTTGCTGAGCACCAACCGAACACACACCACATGCTCCTGCACCCACCTCACCAACTTTGCCGTCCTAATGGCCCACGTGGATGTCAAGGTAGGCTGCCTGTTCACCTCCTTTCTTAATGATTTACCCTCAGGATCCTGCAGTTTAAAAAAAGTACTTTGATGAATGAATCACACATTTATTAATCAGCATGAGGACAAGAAAAGTAGCATTAGCGTTGTTCATCTCAGGTCTGTGGTCAGTACTATACACATTTGGATACACTGCAAAGCATTTGATTCATTTACTCTACAGCAAAAACTGATATGATACAATTTAGTTTGAGTTTGATTCAACTCATTCTGTTTCATTGCATTTCAACAAAACAAAGGAAAATAAAACCTGTCAATCAATGAAATTAATTGCTACCTAATAAAAATGAACCCCTTACAAACAGAACTTGTTTTAAAATCACACTTTCTTCTTACGTGTGCGCAATATACAGAAATGCGGCCAAGTGTAAAAGTTCTAAAACTGCTAGGTAGCAGATGTTTAATGTTCGTTAGGCTGCTACCCCCGCGACCCGACCCCGGATAAGCGGAAGAAAATGGATGGATGGATAGTAACAAAATGCATTCTCTACATTAAAGTTATTGAACACAAGTTAAACTTTTTTTTTCTCTCAGAATATCAAATTAGAGTGAAGCACACTTTCAGTGTTTGTTGCTGTTCGTACCGATGCTGCTGAAACTCACCTCCTGTACAGAATGCGTCACTGAAATAAACAATACTGCTAAATAGCAAAAGGGGTGACCAGAAGAGGTGTCCTCTGAAAAAAGTCAAGAGAGGTGAACTGTTCGTCATACACAAAGATATGTATTAGACCAAATGTACTCGCCCCCTCTCATTGTTGGGAACTTAAGCCAACAGGAATTTATTCCAGAAGCTGCCATATCCATAGTGCCTCTGCACTCTGCACACTATGGATATGGGGCTTTAAATCCTGCCTACTTCCCCACACACAATCATGGTGTCACATGACCCTATTTTTCTTTTTCAGCCTGAGTAACCAATTACATAGAAATGTATTAGAAATATGGATATTTGAACATTCATCGGAGAGGAACTAATTAACCAAATCGACAAATATAAGCACCTGAAAATAATAATCCGAGGTGTATTTATTTTTTAGCAAAGGCGAAGTCCCAATCATAGAGGTGGTGGGACTTAAAATTTGTACTGGGACTCACCCCGATCTGGCTTCTTCCTTCAAGAATCCAGAATTCTTATATTATCTTTTACACCAGTATGAACCTTTTTGCTTGCTGATTCTTTATTTGGTCATTTAAAAAGATTAGAATTCATCAGTACAAATACATAATGGACTATCTATATTTAAACACAAAACCATGTCAGTTCTCATGAATATCTTGTTAAACATTGAACGGATTTTGATACAACTTTACAAAACGTAGTTACTGGTTACCTGATTTACTATTGGAGTCGACCAAATTCAAGCTGGCCACTACAGCTAGTGAACATTAGCGAGTGCAAAAATAACTGTAGCTCAGTCAATTTGACCAATACTGTGCTAATATTTGGTAGTAGCTGAGCATCATTATCAACATACACCAGTGTTTCCCCTACTTGTATACCGTTATCCAAGGAGGGCACCCCACCCTGTAAAAGAACTGAGTGTCCTGCCTACCAAAAAGTCCTTCACCCACAACCCCCCACCAAGACAATTACAGGCACTGACATAGCGCTAAGCTAGCGCCCAGGGATGAGTGCCCTGTCAAGGCAAGTGACCTGGGAAAACATTGCACATTGATATGATGTCTTGCAATATGAGATGAGACTGCACAATTTTATTTTTAAGGTTTGACCAAACAGCTCCAACTCTGTTATTTCTCATTAGAATTTAATCTTAGTGTAAAAGTCTGGGATGGCAGGCTCTGAGCGATATACATTCCTTTAAAGAATGCTAAGTCTTTAATTGGCTTCAACATTTGACACAATTTCTGTGTGCAGTCATTTGGAGTATGTCTATAGTTCCACACTTTATACTTTATCTTCTGAATTGCCAAATGTTGAAGTGTAAATATTTATCTAATTTTTATTTGACATTTTTACAAGATTGTTTTAATTATTTTGGGCATCTACAAGAAAAGGCTGACAGGATTCTCGACTGCATCTCACAATCTGTCTGAAAGGCACCAATCTAACACCCGTTTGTTTTAGCAGAAACGTCCGACTCGACCGTTATCGGTCAAAATAGATAAAGTGAGAGGCAGCTGCTTATGTGTTGTTTAAAGCGTGAAACAATAGTGTTGTTACATGATGATGTTGCTGAGTTAAGAAAAAGAAAATGTTCAGCAGCTGTATATTTTGTGAAAGAATTACTAGTTTTAGTGTGAAAGTTGAAAACAAAAAAAGCGAACAAAAAATAAACTGTTTACTTTGTGCCAAAAATAAATCAATGGGTTTCATTTCACATTGCATTACAGATGATCATTAAAAACTAGAACTCCTGGATCAAAGTAATATAGCCTTAAGGCCATTTTAACCCTCTGTCAGTGCTCTGAATGTATGTTTGGGATGACTCCCAGCTACTACCACACCACATTTTAACTCAAATTTTATTATGTGCATCCAACAAAAAATACAGATCCTCTTTCAAAAACAGGATACACAGAAAGAACTATCCAATATTTGACCAAACTTAGGCAGCATTTATAAAATAAAGAAGTTACCAGAAAAAAACAATTACACAAAGTCGAGCACAAAAAAATTAATTTGTATGCCCGAGTCCCGGTTCATAGAATCCAGCACAAAATTTCCCACATCAAAAATGACTATCTCACAGTGTCCCTGTAGCAAACCAATGGCAACGCAGCAGAAAATTATCAAATTGACACTGCAAGTACGGTGCCATAAAAAAAAAACAAGAAAACTAACAATATAACAAATAAAAACAGTAAAAGTATTTGGAATATCAACAATAGAACAGCAGAAGCTGGTCTGGTTTGGTGGCTCCTCTAGCTGATATCTTGTCTACGCCAAGGATGAAATGTGGGATAAAAAGAGGCGACCTAAAGATACAGTATGTAGGTGTTGTCAGTTTACAGTTGTGAAATGACCGTATAAGATCACTGGAATCTGATCATCTGTAGGCATCTTCAAAGGGAAAAGGATCACTTTCATGACAGCCACAGATTCAATCGTTCTTGTCATACCTGACATTAACGTCCACTCCTCACTCCTCTGATATCTCTTATCAGCACTGAGAGAAGCCCGTGTGACGCCACCGCTGTTTTCCTTTGGTCGTTCGAAGCAGACAGATGTAGCTCATTGGTGCACTGGTGTGCTATAATATCTGACATGCTTTTATATATTTTTATGCTTAATGTGCCTAAGTGTTCAACAAATTCTAATAATCAAATGCAACAATGTGTATAAATGTTAACATAAAAAAGGCAACCAACAAAAAAAAAGCTACCTTGATTGTGTTTATTGCTGGTGATGGACAGAAAAAATCCAACAATTCAAACTCATGACTAAAAACATCAAGTCATAAATTTCATCTATTATTATACAGTGTTTCCCATAGGTCAGTTGTCTTGGCAGGGCACTCATGTCTTTGTGGATTTTTGTTGGGGGGTAGGGGGGTGTATGTGTAACAGAAGCGGAGTGCTACATCTGTAGCTTTTTAGCTCGTGCATCTGCATTGTGCGCCACTAGCTTAGCGCTGCATCAGTGCCAGCAGTGGTTGACAGGAGGGTGGGGGTTTGTGGGTGAAGGACAATTTTGTTAGGCGGGGCACTCAGTTCTTTTGACAGGGTGGGGCGCCCTCCTTGGATAACGGTAGAGGACACACTGACCCAAGCAGGCTAAATGTTGGTGAAAAGCTGGAATGAGCACATGATGCCTTGCAAAGTAAATTCTTCCATATTTTGTCCATAAAGACGCCGTCTAACAATTCCGGTAACTAAAACTTTTCATTCATTCATTTTCCATTCAACCTTTATTTATTCAGGTTAGTCTCATTGAGCCTTGAGGACTCAATTACAAGAGAGACCTGTTTTAAACAAAGAACACAGATGAGGTACAGACAACAATAGACAATCATATAAAAGCATATAAAATGAAAAAGTAAATAGAACTAACTAAAACTAAAACTTGGGAAAACTAATCTTTAATTTGAAGTTTTCTAACGGGTATGTTTTCAGAAATAAGCGTTTGTCTTATAATCTTTACAATTACCTTTTGAAAATCACCATTCTTCTCTGATGGCTAGTGCTTGGAAATCCTTTCGTATAATGTTTGCCATATTTGTGAAACTTGTGGATTCCCCTTTCGATACATAAGGCTGGAGTTACCGAATATGCCATTCTTTGTCTGTTGCACTAATTCTAGACCAATAAATATCAAGTGTTCAGTCTTATAAACCAAAATAACCTGTTGCTAGTTGGTGATAAATCACCCAATTGTTATAAACTATGTATGATAACTTTTGAAAAGGAGATTTTATAAAGTATGACTTAAAATTGAAAAATTAAATTTCTCCAGCATGGGTCACATATTTTTTTTAAGGATTCAACAAAGAGAATTTGAAAAATAAATGAAAACACAAAACATTACAGCAGCACGTCTCAACTCTACTAGGACTAGGACAACTGGCAACGACTCTGCTGATTCTCTTAAGGCTGCAGCACAAATTAACCTTAGACCAACAAAATCTATTCATGGCATTTAAAAATTAATTCAGAATCTTTCATGTCCATGATGAGCTTTATTTAAAAACAGATTGTAACTACCCCACACACCAACACCACTATCACCCCTTTAAGATACAGTTTACAACCTTTCCCTAGAACAAGATTTCAACACATCTCTAATTTACAGCTCTGGTTGGTGTATGTATTTTTATGAGCCAAGCTTGGATTGTTTAGAGGCTTAAGGCTGGTTTATTGTCCATGAGAAGCACAGAAGTTTTGTCTCATTGATGTGGCTGTGTGACAAAAATTGCATATTTTTCTACTCACAACCCCCAGCTCAACCCCGTCTTATGCATTGCACCGAGTCAGAAGTAGTTTCTTACAGGGTATGCA